TGAGGCAGTGCTCTTTTAAAAAGGAGCACAGACAAAAAACACAAGAGCATCAAGACTGAGAAAAATCTCACTTTAATAGCTCATAGACTTGAGTACCCCAACATGTTTTCTGGGAAAAACTACCTTTTTTCCCCTAAAAGCTCTAACATGAGCAGGTGGGTTCTAAGACAAGGACTCAGAACACGTAAGCAGTGACAGAGAGCTCAGATTGCACCTCTGCCCCCATCCTAGGAGTGAAGCTCCATGGAGAAGAGATGATCCCGGGGATCACAGTGGCCATAGATTCTGCCATCAAAAATAGTCCCAGGGTAAAATCCTTTGGAAAAATAGATACGCAAACCAGAATCCCTCTTTTTTGCCAACATACGGATTTAAGTTATTATATTTTCTTGAGGTAAGTGTCCTTTTCCTGCTTTTGCAGAGGACCATATTGAGGCAATAAAAAAATGAACCACTTTCCATGATGGATTTTCCAACATGCTCTGTTCACAGTTTATTGTTTTGATGGTATTGGTTGAGCCTCTGCAATACACCAGGCCTCGGAGACACAGAAGCAAAGAAAGTCAAATCCCTGTCCTCATAGACCTGACACCCCAGGAGGTGAGCAGCTGCCTCGTCCCAACAAAGAGTGGGCTTCCAGATGCTTCTACTCCTAATATGCTTCTTTTCTTCATGGAAATTCAAAACCAGACACAGTTGGAAGAAGCTAAAGTCACCCAAGAAAGTTTGGGCCCAACTCCGTGTCAAGAGCAGGACTGTGTACTATAATCAGGAAAGGAGGTGGTCCTTGGACCCAAAGAGCTTTCAAATTTTAGTTTAAAGACAAGAATAGAAAAGATTTCCAAAGCTACACATTTATTCCTTTACACATCTCCCTCTCCCTCCTTTCATCTCTTCCCCTTTCTCTCTCTCTCCCTCACACACACATACACACACATATTCTTACAGCATCCCCTCAACCCCAAGAAAAGTACCCCACACACACACACACCAATAAACACATCTATGCAAAAGTACACAAATACATAAGCTATACACCATAGGAAACCTACATAAAGACATGGATGCCATATTTTCAAGGACACACCAAAACTCACAAATAAACCCATGACCCTATCTTGCCTATAAGAGACTGGCCATGACTACAAGCAAAAACACAGATGTAAAAACACTTTCTAACAGAGGCTGAGGTTCTCAGTACAACTGCCCTGGTAGTTGCTATTGCTTCTATAAAGATTCAGAAGAGTAAACCATTGGTAGCCAACTTCCTATATGTCCATGCAAACAAGAGGGCTCAGTTTTAAATAATTATGTCAAAAAAATTGACAACTGTGCTCTTTGCCAGAACACGGATGAATAATTACAATGCCAGGAAATAATTAAGCAATTCTGACTGTCGATTCTTGCACTGTCTCTCTGATGCATAGGGCTGGCATGCCTACCATGCATGCCCTCCTGGACAGGCCTCCACACTGCTTTGATCTATGTTTCTTGGAGCAGGCAGTTGTGGGGTGAGTCAGAGTCTGGTCATTATAAAAGCTGTTCTTGGGGGGGCTATCACCTCCTGTATGTCCAACTTGGGTACTCTCTGCATTGACAATACCATGATCTAATGGCCAATATTTTTCAGAGTACATATTTTCTTTAAAATTTCAGGAAATGAGCAAAGCCTAGCTGTTGTAGGACCATTCACTACCCCAACACACAGAAAGCAAGACTAGAAGAGCTACTGCAACATTAACTATCAATTCCAAAAGAATGACAGCATCTTTTTGTAGAACAATCAGAACTCAGACAGAAGGAAGCTTTTAAACAACAAAAGCCAGAAGGCAGCCATGAAGGAGAAACGTGTCATCGTGCGAGACGCTGAAAGCCGACTCGCACTTCAAGCGCCGGGCCTGCCAGGTACCGTATCAAGCCTTTGTGACTTAGGGGGTTTATGAGTTGCTGGATGAGTCTGCATTTGCATCAGCTGAGAACACCCAGACTGCCCATTCCCTACCTCCAAGGCAAGGGCTGTGATTGGAGAGGCATTTTCCATTCTCCCAAATACTTTATGTCAGGAATAAAATGAAAACAGCTCCCCAAATCACAGCCCCCTTGATCATCCATCAGAGCATTCTGCTGAATAAGCAAAACAGACTGCCACTGCTTCAGAAAGGACAGAAGCCAACTTGAGATTCTGAGTCCGTGATGAAAAATAGGTCTTCACCAAGCGTGCTCAGCACAGCATCGGCAATTCACCAAGAGGAAATTGCTCTCCACTTAGGAGCTGACTCCGAGTGTACACATACCTCCCAGAACATACATATGTATATATACACAGAGATGGAGCGCATATATACACACCTGCAAGGAACAAACACATGTCTGTACATACTGTGAGCAGGCGAGAACCAGCCTTAACACCAATTTATTAATTCAGCAAGGAGCTCATTTGGCTCCTTTCTATCTGAAAGAAAAGTAAAAGCGCATCTCTCTGCAAAAAACAGACAAAAGGGAATTGTCTGCCATTCATGAGAGGCACGAGAGCTAGATATGCAACTGGCAACACATAGAAATCCTCCAGTACACTTAAAGGGTCACAGGGTAAATAGAACACTACATGGGGCAGCTCAGATGGCTGACTTCTCATCCCAGTTCTGCCTCCAACGGACTTTGGGGCCTTAGGGAACTACATCCTCTCCCTGTTCCTGCATCCATAAGATGAAAGCACAGACCAGAGAGTTTTGCAGCCCTCCCCTCTCCAGTTTGAAAATCATGGGACTCTACAAAAGGATAACCACCAAAAGTCCTGATGCTTTGTCAGAGTATTTTTGTCTTTCTCCAAATATTGATAATTAATGGATATTTCAAAGCTTAACACACTTAGTAAAGAGAGTAGAGCCAATCACACAAACATCTGATTCTGTAAGTGATCAGAAACTGACTGGGAGCTCTGAAGAGCATTTCTGGCAATGGCGCTAATGACTCAGAATCAGCCACTGCTGGATTTTAAGGATCCTGTCCCTGCTTTCAAAGGCAGTGGATGCCTTCAATTCTCCCCCATATCTACTCCAGCAGAACAGTCCTGCTTTTGCCTGTTTTCTTCACTTAGGCCTTCCTTGGAGGATCTGTTTGGACAAAGAGATGTACAGAGGAAATGGTGAGCTCAGTGCTCCAGGAATAAGAGATGAAAGAATGTGGGGTCTACAGACAGACACATGGGTGAAGTTCGGGTTTTAGCAATTATGAGCTCATGACTTGGGCAGTCCAGACAGCATCCCTAGGCCTGAGTTACTGCATCTTTGCAGTAAGTCAATGCTCCCTTCCTTCCATATTCAAAGGTTATGTGAGGATGCACATACCTGGACACAAAAGAACTTTAGAACAGTAGTGGACACCACTGATACCCCATTCCAATATGATGGGTATTATCTTTATGACCTCCCCAGATTTCCAGTGACAGTAGAGAGCTTCCATGTCAAAGACAATGAAAACAGGAAAAACAGTATCTATTCCATAAAATGCATGCATACACAACGGCGAGAAATGCAAGATGTGTGGGAATCCAAGATATTATAAACACTCCATTTGTTGTATTTTGGTTTGGTGATACTGGCTGTCTCTAGAATCTTTTAACCAAAAAAAAAAAAAAAAGGAGGCCAAGAAATAAATTATTTCATTTGAAAAAAATCACAAAAGCTGGAATAACTAAAGGCAGTCATGAGCAATACATCAAATCAGTGTCTCCATAAGGAAAACCGTTAACACTTTAATAGCTATGAAACGAATCACTCAATTAATTTCCCACATGCTGAAACAGGTAACAATACATTTATCTGCCAGTATTCTACTCTCCATATCATATATTTCCACAACTGTTAGCAATTTTATTCAGCATAACGGGAAATAAGTTGCACCTCATGGATTCAGGGAAAGAAAGTGGCCTGAGGTCTGCTGCCAGCTGAGCGACTTGATGGAAGAGGTTTCATTTTTCTGTTTTGGTTCTGTTTGTTTTTTCCTCTTTCCCTCTTAATCATTTCCAATGCACGTGCAGAGCGCTCCAAGTCCATCAGTGAGGACAAATGAGACCTCAAGGATCTCTGGGCCAAAGATTTCAACACACAAACGAGGATCCCACAGGAAGTGACTGCAGCTCCACAGAGCTCCAGGACATGATGGACCTCCAAAGGAGTCATGAAGTCCATTCCCCAGCCTCAGGCTTCACTGAAGGATCCTAGCTCCTCCCAAGCCCATGTCCTTAATAATCTTGTGTATGAATCCAAGACCCCAAGCCAAATCTCCCTTGCCTCATCAGTGCTGTCATTAACATGACACCATGTTCAATCCCCTGGCCTCGAAGCAGACTCAGTTGGTGAAACAAAGGTCAGTAAACAGCATTTGCCTGAGCTCTGGAGAGCCAGATGAAGGACGCACACATCAGTCTCAGACCACATTGTCAGAAAAATTGCCTTCCGTGCTAACAGTATTTCCAAGTGCTATTGAGCCCTCACCTGTGGAAAAGAGACAAGCACTCTCCCCAGCCACCCTTTGGCCCCGAGAAAGAAGAGCCCCGCTGAGGCACTAGAGAATCCCTACCTACCTGAGAAACAGTAATGCCCAATGCTCTCCTGTTTCTCCTTCCTCAGCTCCAGAGTCTGCAGAGGTCTCACCTTGTAAATGAAACACTTTCAAGGAGGCCTGAAATCCTCCTTGCTTCGAAATTCTCCTTGATGCTGGGAACATCACCACAGGATGTGTATGATGCTGCTTTATTGGTACAAGAGCCATCTGTCTGAAATCACCTTACCAATCACTTTATAGTACCAACAATGCCCCCCAAGAGTCCCAGGAAGACCCAGCTTATACCAAATTCTACTTCTTGTTTGACCAACAGTGTATCCATGGATGAAATCCTGGTGCATTCTGAACACACAGGAGGACTTCCTCCAGCCTTGAAGAGTACCCAACAGGTGAGGCATAAATCCTCACAAAGAACAAGAGGGTAGAGGGCTTACCTTGGGCTTCACCACCTTCATGAATGCCCCTCTGACCAAAGCTTCCTCTCGTTCTTGTTTGGTTACTTTCTGAGCATCCAGAAACTTCAAATTGGGCAGCTTGTGCAGAACAAAGCATCTGGAAGAGAACAGTCAGAGACAGCTCAGGAAGACTGGGGTGACGGACTCAAAGGTTCATGCAATTTATCTGATGTTCAGGAAACTATATCAAGTCTTCAGAAATTTAGACCTTGGCTGCAGCTTCTTCCCTCTTCTTTCACAATGAATAATCACTCTTCGGGGGAATCCACACAGTTCTGTTTTATACAGATATGCAACTAAACTTTCAAAACATACACTAATGGTTGTTCTTGACTCAAAGGTATGCTCACAAATGCACACCTGGATTCACCAATAAGACCCTATCCATGTATTTACCTTTTCCCATTCTGGAAAATAGACCCAAAATCTTTGATACACAAGAAATTCTCAAAGAAAATAACCTACAACCTGATCATACCATTCATGTTACTGTCATTCTTATGGGTCATCTGTATTATTCTCATCTCCAAGAGAACAAAAAAGTCTTCATTTTGAAGCTGAGATGAGAGACTTTTATTTGCCAGGACAATAATAATAACCTGGACAATTCTGGGATATAAGAACATACATAGCTGAGAAATTGTTTCCTTGAGGGATCAGACATACATGCTGAGGACTTTTTCTCATCATCACTGAGTTACTTCTACACTGGCACTATGAAGAGTATCTCCATCAAGGAGAAACAAGGGGAGTTGGTTTCCAATGGACATTAACAGCCCAAATATGCCATATGGTCTCCCTGGAAAGAGTCTCTGGGATCCATTACCATCTTTAAGGATAACCAAATGACTGACTACTTGTGTGATGAACTATCTTTAAGCAGGTGTATGGAGTTGACAAGAAGACTCACCTGGTCAGAAGATAGGTATGTAAACATATAAAAAATGATACAAAAAGTAGAGACACCTGCCTGTAGCTCTTCTTCCTCAGGGACAGTCACCGACCCACATGCTTTCCACCAAGCCCTCACGCTCCTCCAATCAAAGGAGCATTTGTTTAGACCCTTTCCTGCTTAGGAAAAAAAGGTGGATATCCAATGTCAAGAGCAGTAGTCACATCATCTCCACGGGAATCTGACTTTTTCTCCTTGTATCCAGCATCCTCAGTATTCACTCATCTTTCCAAATCCCAACCCTCAAGAAGTTTTCTCCTGCATCCCCAGCCCATATTGCTTTCTCCCTTCTCAATACTCCAAGGAGGCATTTTTAGCACCCTACAGTCTAACACTATATTATTTTCTAATTGTCCTTCAGTTAGTGTCCTCACCAAAACTATAAGCTTCTTGAAGACAGGGACCAATTTCTCTTTCTCACTCTCAAACCATTTTGGAAAGAAGCATTAGAATGGACACCGTAAAATACCAGTTCATTTCAGTTGCACAAATGTTTCTTAAGCACCTACTTCATGCCAGGCCTAAGTATACAGAGGTGATTACAACATGGTTCCTGCTCTTTCAGTTCAGTTCAGTCACTCAATTGCATCCAACTTTTTGCGACCCCATGGGGGGCAGCACGCCAGGCTTCCCTATCCGTTACAACTCCTGGAGCTTACTCAAACTCATGTCCATCAAGTCAGAGATGCCATCCGACCAACTCATCCTCTGCTGGCCCCTTCTCTTCCTGCCCTCAATCTTTCCCAGCATCAGAGTCTTTTCAAATGAGCCAGTTCTTTGTATCAGGTGGCCAAAGTATTGGAGCTTCAGCTTCAGCATCCATCCTTCCAATGAATATTTAGGACTTATTTCCTTTAGGATGGACTGGTTGGATCTCCTTGCAGTCCAGGGACTCTCAATAGTCTGCGCCAACAGCACAGTTCAAAAGCATCACTTCTTCAGTGCTCAGCTTTCTTTATGGTCCAGCTCTCACATCCATACATTATTACTGGAAAAACCATAGCTTTGACTAGACAGACCTTGGTCAGCAAAGTAATGTCTCTGCTTTTTAATATGCTGTCTACATTGGTCATAGCTTTTCTTCCAAGGAGTAAGCATCTTTTAATTTCATGGCTGCAGCCAGCATCTCCAGTGATTTTGGAGCCCCCCCAAATAAAGTCTCTCACTGTTTACATTGTTTCCCTATCTATTTGCCATGAAGTGATGGGACCAGATGCCATGACCTTAGTTTTATGAATGTTGAGCTTTAAGCCAGCCTTTTCATTCTCCTCTTTCACTTTCATCAGGAGACTCTAGTTCCTCTTCGTTTTCTGCCATAAGGGTGGTGTCATCTGCATATCTGAGGTTACTAATATTTCTCCCCCGGCAATCTTGATTCCAGCTTGTGCTTCATCCAGCCCAGCATTTCACATGATGTACTCTGCATATAAGTTAAATAAGCAAGGTGACAATATACAGCCTTAACGTACTCCTTTTCCTATTTGGAACCAGTCTGTTGCTCCATGTCCAGTTCTAACTGTTGCCTCTTGACCTGCATACAGATTTTTCAGGAGCAGGTAAGGTGGTCTGGTATTCCCATTTCTTGAAGAATTTTCCACAGTTTGTTGTGATCCACACAGTCAAAGGCTTTAGTGTAGTCAATAAAGCAAAACTAGATATTTTTCTGGAATTCTCTGCTTTTTCTATGATCCAACCGATGTTGGCAATTTAAAGGGCTCTAATATAAAGGGGAAGATGGGTTCAAAGACATAAATTAGAAACTGACATAGCTAAGTGCCAAGTTTGAAGTTACGTACAAAGTAGCTTTTCAGACACAAAGAAAGAAGAGTAAGAAGTCTTAAGAAAGCTGCAAAGAAACAAGCCCTAAAGCAGTTCCCAAACACTAAGCTTTTCTCTCAGTGCAAATGTTACTCGAGATGTGAGCAGGCCTCCCTCCTCAGTGGAGCCTTAGGTCCTCGTGGCCAGCACCCCCAGTTCATAGGATGGACTCACATCATCAAAGGGCCTCACATATGCTTGTCCAGGTGAGACTCAGCTGATCACTCAAATGCCAAATAGCTCAGAGGTTTCTAGTCACAGCCTTCCTATGACTTAAAGTAAAAAATACTCTAAATTCTTTTGTGGTGTCCTTTTCCTGCTCAGAAACTTCCACACCAACATCTGAGGTCCTAGAAATTTGACTACCTACTTTCTGCACTCTCCCTGGCCTCAAGCTACTCATCATCTTCTTTCTTACTTTTCCCTAAGCCTCTTCTTTCCCTCTCCGAATGCCACCTAAGCTTACTCGAAATTAGACAAGTTCTACACAGGCCCCAATACCTTTCTATCCTCCAGAAGAACTCCCACTGGCCTCAGTCAGTGTCAGAGAAAACTTCCATCTCCTGCTTGTAGCAGCAAAGTCTTGATGACAACAGATTCTTTCAAATAAAGACACGTACAGACAGAAACAATATGTCAGGAGTGACGCTCAAAGGAGTAAAGACACCCACTAAGTGTAGGGTGGGAAAAGATGAATATTCAGGTGAAGAAAAGTCAGTATTAGAAAATCAGCCAATGTTTAATGATGGAATGAAAGATGTCTTCACGGGGCTGGCAGGAACCATGGTGACAACAGACAGCATGTTGTCATTTCGCCCCACTTTGGATCACAGCCCTGAAATCAAAGGAGAGAGAGAGAAGCGCTAGCTTTTAAGCTAGTTAAAAAATTTTAGATGACAAAGAGCTACTGTTTTCAGAGCACTCTTCTTTCAACACCAAAGGAACATCCATGAAATAGGCTGCCAGCTACCCTGAAACTAGGGGTGACCTGACTCCCACCCAGCTGGTCAGCCTGGATTTCCAGGTGGTTGATGCCTAAAGATGTCTGAGAGACACTAGGAAGGCTCGTTCCAAATAGTTCAGTACGAGACTCAGCTCAGGGCTCAGAGTATGTCCTTTAGGAGAGGTCTTCTTTCAATTATTTACACATTCACCCACCCAACAAATACTTAGAAACCACCACCTGCCAGGAACTGAGCTGGGTGCTAAGAATAGGTGATGCACTAAACAGACATGGTCCCGACTTTCAATGAACTTACATTCTAGCTCAGTGGGTCCCAAACTTGAGGAGGTGACAGAATCCCCCAGAGGCCTTGTTGAAACACAAATCACAGGGTCCCTCCCTAGAGTTTCTGATTCACTGCATCTGGAATGAAGTTTCAAATTTACATCCTAATAAGTTCCCAGGTAAGGCTGATGTGCTGCTAGGCCTACTGCGAATCACTGTCCAAGTACAAAAACACCACAAGGATTAATAGTTTTGGAATTATGAAGTTGATAAGGAGGCCAAGTGTATCCTTCCCAGTTCAGCTAATGGTCTGTCCTGCCCCTGATGTCTACGGTCCCCAGTGCCCAGACAGAAGCCATATCCACCAGACCTTTTTTCTTGCCCCTTGGTGGTTTGGAACCAGCTCTAAACCAGCTCTGCCAATGCTTAGTCAGTGAGCTTTCTGCCTGCCTGTCCCATTCTGGTCTTGGGAGATCTATTTCCCTTTGTTCTAGGTCATGTCAGGGTGTCAAAAGCTGCAGCTTCAATCCTGAGTATAATACAAGTTTGCCATAAAAATACAAGAGAGGATTCCTGAAGCCACAGAATGAAGGCTTTTACAATATCAATTCAACCCTTGTAAATTTAATCCAGGGTTATTTGTTGCACCAAAATCTCTTTACTGTGATGTATTACTTAGTTACCAGGGTTATCACAGCCGTATCCTAAAGTTGCATAGTACATAAAACATTTCAGTTAACAATGCGGGAAGGTTAACTCCCCCAGATAACCTGCAATCACCAGGGCTAGTCCAGATGACATGCCTCTGTCAGCTTCCACGAGCTATTGATGGTTCAATCAGTTTGTTTTGAAGGTAAAGTACAACAAAAGGGCAGTAAACTTATTCAGACTGTCAACAGGGGCTATCGGGAATGGGGCTTGCAGGTAAGTAATTCTGGGTGTTTTAAAGCTATTATCAAACAGCAATGGTTGAAGGAAGAGACAGCTACTAATAACACAGAAGGCAGCCATCATAAACCACTTTATGGCAGAAACCCCCGTCCATAAATCCTGCGGCACCCGGAGACAGCTTCAGATTTATAAAACTGCTTGTTAAGCC